CTTCAAGGAGGCTGAGCGGTGCGGGAAGGAGAGGCCCCGGCCGCTCACAGCGCTCACCTCCCGCAGGGCTCGGCCGCCTGTCACAGTTTCTCTCCTCCCCGCTGGGACACAGCGCAGTGTCCAGCGGGGAGGAGAGAAAGAACCGATGTGCCGCTATTTCAGCAGAAAAATTGCACTTTCGGCATTTTGCCAAAAGTGCTATCTTCGGATCGATATGTTTCGGTGGACGATATATCGGTGCATCCCTATATATATATGCACATATATATATATATATATTCAGCATTTGTCATCTAAAACAGCCTTCTTGCTCCAAAATGCATAGTTATAGCATTACAATTGTCATGTATCACAAATAACTTGTTTTGGTATTGTTGTCTTTTGTCAGATTTAAATAATCTCTTGTATCATTGCATTATAACTTGGCATAGAGATTTATGTAAAACTTGAGTTATTAAATCCCCTCAAAACCTCCCCAGGTCTTTTTTTTTTTAATTGAAAATAAAACCTTATGCATAAGTTTTACCTGAAGTCTTTTAGCTGGCTTGTGACATCATGGGACCTTCCTTTTCTTCGGCGCTGGGGGGCAGCAGTCTTGTGACCGTTGGTCAGTTGATAACAAACCCCGAGGAGAACGTGTCAACAACACGTTGTCTACAAATGGGTAGAATGACATGAGTTTCACTCAGCCTAAAGAGGACTGGCAGCGCTGAACCGGGGACAGCCCTGGAGAACAGAGAGGGTGCATTTTTTTTTAATATAAGAGGAGAAGTAGGGATTGAAAACTGAAAAAAAAATGGAGTTATACTTTGTAATTTCCATTCAAAGAAACAGACCACGTGAAACTCATATTTCGGTTTTATATGAATGCCGCAGATTGAATTATCTACTGCTTTCCCCTATATATTTAAACTATGATTTCTGATTTCCTGAGGCCTTATCACTGGCCGCTTTTCACGACGGTTATAATAGTGTCTCCTTTTAACACATAAATGCTTTATTTATAATGCTACATTTATTTAAATAATTTGAAAATGCAGCAGGAAGAGTGGAACTCTCATTTGTATTGTCTTATCTGATTCAGAGGGTGGAACCAGGATCTCTGATGGGGATAATATACTGATATAGTAAATAAACCCAGTATGTGGTTCAACCCACTAGCATCTATCAAAAGCTGAAGTATTCGTTTAGGTGGATATAGTTTTGAATACTCCTTTATAATACAAGATACATAGCTCATTTAAATTTCTACTGGCCCAATAAATGTTTAACATTTTGAAGTTTGATGTAAATCTGGTTACTTGTGAAAGTGAAAAGTAAAGTAAAGTAAAAAATAATAATTGTATTAAGAATTCCATTATAAGTCCATTAAGGAAGGGGTTTAATGCGTGTGTGTGTGTATATAGTAATGGAATATATCATATTTTTTTAAGCCGGGCAGCTGATGAATGTTTAAAGTTATAGATGCACCATGGATAACAAACTGTTTACTAATGAACCAGGACTCGGTCTGTCATAACCCTGCTCCAGCGGGTCTGCTGTGTGAGCTGGCAACTCTATTAATCATTAATTACATGATTAAATTAATGTTTGTTCACTCCTGCTGGGGGTGAAAGTGTATGTCCTAAACACAGTTCCTTGTAAGAGAATGAACATTGTTCGTTAAACAACATAAGCCAAAGTCATTCAGGACATTTTTGGGGTGTTTGCATAAAAAAGTGATTATATATGATTAAAGTAGTGAAGTGTGAAAGTCATTTGGACATAACAGTGTCATAGACGTGAACTACATACACTGTGTGCACAATTATTAGGCAAGTTGTATTTTTGAGGATTAATTTCATTATTGAACACCTACATACTGTATATATAAAGGTATAAGGAATGAACATCTCATTGGGGCAAATAAAATGGCATTTCCTATATCATTTATATCAATCTAGAGATCTT